GATATTATTTTCTTAGTAAATATTTATCAAATCATCAATCTCTATTTCGTCCCCTTCAAAGTAGTCCCCCTCAGATATAACCCACCTGTGCCAGCGTTTTTTCCAATCCTCTAAGCAGTTCTGATATGCACTTTTTGGTATGTCCCTGAACTCTACCAGCGATTCGGTTTTTATCTCCTCAATCATCGCAAAACGCCATCCTTTCATTGGTCTCTTCAATATTGGGAACAGTTAAAAGTCGCAGAGGGCCAAATATGGTGAATACGGTGGCGGTGAGCAGGTAAAAGCCCCTCTCTCTCTAAATTTCATGGATGTTGCTTCCACTCGGGCGTATTTGTCCAGGCTCCTCCTATCGAAGTTGATGGGAACTTCGTCGGGGGCGAAGCTGCTCGAAGCAATGCTGCCACCCCTTTCTTGTGGAACTTTTTCATGATAAAAACAATATAGTTTTTTTATTGTCATCTGCTCAGGAGATCTTTTGATTTTTTCCACATATATATTTATTGGGTCGCCTTCTCGTCGAGAGACCTTCGGGTTTTTGAATCCACATATATGGCCTTCTTTACGTGGTTATCCGAACCACCCGGCCTGGATACCGGCGTGAATAAAGACCGACATCGCTTCACATTTAGAAACCCCGCGATAGCACAAGGCATCCGCGTACCTTCTTCGTGGACGAAAATGCGAATAATGTTCCTTGTAACGAGTTAATATAATCCACTTAGTTTGACCTACATCGCATTTCTCACAGCTAATTTTTGCTGTGAGGATGTTTTATGCAGTTAACCGGAAATAGAGACGAACGTAATTCAGCTCTAGATCTAGGCCTACTACTACTACTACTACTACTACTACTACTACTACTACTACTACTACTACTACTACTGCTACTACTACTACTGGTGCTACTACTACTACTACTACTACTACTACTACTACTACTGTTACTACTACTATTACTACTACTACTACTACTACTACTATTACTACTACTATTACTACTGCTACTACTACTACTACTACTGCTGCTGCTGCTGCTGCTACTACTACTACTACTACTACTACTTTTCTTTTTTTCGGCGAGTGGAAAAATCATCAAAAGACACCTGGTCGCCCTGTGACCAGATAGTGTCGGAGTTTTACCGACTAAAAAACCACTCATAAGTCAAGCAGGCTACTCTGGAAGCGCCCTCGGGCATTACTTTGGAATAGCAGACTGTAGTGATGGTTCAGGGCTCTTCCTTTTTCTTCAGTACTTCATTATTATTCATCTAGTTCTTTTCTTTTCTTTGTCAGGATGGTACCGGAGAGTTTACTAATGGCTTCCCAGTTTTCAATACTTTTGAGCATCTTCCCTATTATGTTTTCCGGTGTTAATTCTCCTGTCGTCATTTCTGCGTTTCGTCTCTGATGCAACGTATGCATCAAAAAATCGTATTTATTACCGTATCTATCATCCCGCAATACTTGCGCTCTTCTGTGTCACTCATTTTAAACCTGAACAGATCAGTCTTCTTATCCAGTTGGCCTTTCCATCGTCTATCTCCCAAGATTGTTGCCATTTTTCCATAATTTGTAACCTTGCTAACCCTTTCGATACGTTGTTTTGTACCATTGTTCTCTCTTCCACCAGCAGATCTATTGGGAGGTTCTTGCAATCATCAGCAGAGCTTTAGTTGATGTTGTTTTATATGCACACGGTATTTTTATGGCTGCTTTCCGTTGAACACTAAGAAATATATTCCTGTATACCTTTTTTCCATGGCTCTTTTCCATATCGTTGCGCCATATAGCAGGATCGACTGGGCGACTGAGCATAGAATTCTTCTGCTACCTTCTCGAGGATCCCCAATGTTGGACATTATCCTGCTTATGTTTCTTATTAACGAACATCCCTACGGATGTTCGTTTCCTCCAATTCAATTGTGATACTTTTCAGTTTTCTGCCTGCTACCAGCAGTACTACCTCTGACTTCTGAGGAGCAAGCTTGAATTGTTTCGCTGTCATCCACTCGGCTATATCCTTCACAGTTCTATTGGAAGTTCTTATCAGACTTTCTTCATTTTTCCCCACCAACACTACGGCTAGGTCATCTGCATGGCCTATTAGGTTAACTTCCCTAGGGATCTTCAGATTCAGGCCCATATGTTCAGGATACATATGAGCCTGTACGATTTACTTTTACCTTTTTCGATAAGAACTAGTCTGGGCTATCTTCCATTCTCTGGGGAATTGCCCTTTTGTTAATAATAGGTTCATTATCCTCACACATTGTTCCGGGTGTGCCTTAACGACAACTTTGATGACTTCCGCTGGGAGTTCATCCGGACCGGGGACTGTTTTCTCTTTTAGTCTTTTGTTGGCTTCCATGAGTTCATCCATTGTGAACGGTGGTATCTCCTCTGGTGCCAATGGTAGTCTGTCCCATTTTTCAATCTGGTGAGATGGAAACAACATGTTAGCAAATTTTGTTTGTTCTTCTCCAGTAAGTCCAATCGGCTGTCTGACTCTAAGCTTGTTAGCTACAATTTGGTAGCCTTCTCCCCATATATCCGCATCTACTTCTTCTATCAGTATTCTCCACGCTTTCTGTTTGGCTTCTACTATTGTTTTCTTCAGATCATTTTTGCTTTGTTTGTATTCAGCTTGCCTCAGTCTTTTTTGAGGTTCATCATTACCTCTGTTCGATCTTACCACTTTTCTTCCAGCCCGAGCACATGCCTTACGTTTTCCTGCAAGCTCTTCAGTCCACCAGTATACCGGAATTCTATTATCTTTCACTCTTCTTTTCGGGAAAATTTTCTTACATGCAGCTTTTATAATGTTTGTTAGTAGTGCCACTTAGATCCCCTTTCCTTCAGTAAGGAGTGACCGTCCTATTTCTTCAGAGGCTCCTATGATCTCGTAGACTATACGTTGATGGTAGCTCAGACTCTCTTCTTCTATGACCTTCCAGTCGCTCACAAATTTTGCAATTCTGTTGATGCTGAAAGTCAGGTCAATATAGGATGTACTATCTCTCCTCACGAAAGTTGGCACATTTCCCGTGTTTATATCTATATTTGGGGGTATGTAGCATCCGTATATTATAAACCGTTTGGTTTCAATCCAGACGAAGCCTGATCCATTCCCTTTGTTCGTTGCATACATTTTTTTATTACGTATGTATATTGCCACGGCCATGTTTCTATCCACTATCCAGTCAGTGTTCACGACTTTTTTTCTGTTATTTGCTTTCATGTTTAAACATCAGATCAGTGGCTGATTCGCCTCTGTCTAGATTGCCCCGTAATACAGTAATATTATCCATATTATATGCTTGTTTCCCCACTCTTCTTCTTTTTTTTCCGTGCCTCCTGAAGCTTTCTATATTCTGGACATTTCATCGAATCCGCTTTGTGACCATCCACATCGCAATTATAACATCTTTGCACTCCTTGGCATTCTTTTTTTATGTGTCCAATCTCTCCACATTTATAACATCTTGACTCTTCCTCTTTTTCGCTACAGTTTCTCGATATATGTCCTACTTTGTGGCATCTATAACATTTCTTAATCTTCCCACTTTTCTGATACACCACCTATTCCATTCCTATCCTATCCTTGTCTTCCTTTCCAGTATTCTAGCTACGTTTTCTCTGATTTCTACTACTGCTAGTACTGCTACTACTAATACTACTACCACTGCTACTGCTACTACTACTACTGCTGCTGCTACTGCTACTACTACTATAACTATTATTACCTACTACTAGAACTATTACCACTACTACTTCTACATCGTCGAACACTGCGTTCATTAAGTGATTTTTCAGGCTGTTTCGGCAGCGCTTTGTTTCGATTTAAACTCGTAGATGAAAATTTGGCCTAAACTCGCCCAACGTAAGCTAAAATTTGTAAAAATGAACAGAATCAATATACACGAGTAGAGTACACAATTTCCCATTAATCAGTAGGTATTTACCACGACGCAGAATGAATATTTATTGAGATATGAAGCTACAAAAACACATGGCAATTAAAAGGGCAAAACTTTTGAATGAAACAACCTAACAATAACAATTAATATGAAAAAATTTACTTCGGAGTCGTGCTATAACGAAAGTAAAACCTGTAAATAACGCAGGATATGTTTTCCAAACGCTATATTATCGAGAAGAAATATAGGAGGTCAAGCAGTGACCTTTTTATATGATCGATGGAGACGAAAGGGGTGGCAACCGGTAGGGGCTTGAAGGAAAGGGGTCGAATCGTTAGATTAATGTAAAAGCCTAATGGGCATTCCTTATCGTAAAAATGCAAATTCTTATCAATAACTCCCGAAACGCGGAATATTTTCCATAATCTTCAAATAATGAAGTCCGCATTATGAATGGGCTGTCATATGGGCACGGTAGGCGCATGGAATCGCTCATATATCGGATCCTTTAATTCTTGACGGTCACGAAATGTGCCACGGCTCTTTAAGACGCAATTAACTCTTAATTTTCGCATTCCTACTTCACGGGATGATTGCCGCACGAAGCAACGGCCTCGTATGGAAAGTTGAATCTCTCGGAAAACTTTTGAATGAGAGAAAAGGAGACAACAAATATCAGGCATGTTTTATTTCCAACTAACACAAACTCTGGATGAACAGAAAGATAACAAGGACTTCGGAACTTTGACAATGCTCATAGTCGTCCTATCGGGAGGACTATTCGTAATGTGGTGGATGAATTTGAGTCCACTGGTTTAGTAAACCAACGCCCATACGCCAACGAAACGCAAGATCTGCCGAAAACATTACCGCTGTCTGTGAGAGTGTGCAGGAGAATCCGAGGCAGTCGATGTTGTGTCTCACACACATTACACATCATTATTTTCCCTGAAGTTGGAAACATGTTTTCGTGTTACCGCTACCGAAAACTTCCCGACCCACTTACACTTGAGTAGTGTCCAAGGTATTGGAAAAAATAATTATAAAACAGATGAGGAAGCATATAAAAATCAATAAAACATGACCACCAAATCAGTCTGGTTACAGACAGCTTTAGCAACTATAACAGATGATATTTTAGATACCTTGGATAAAAATGAGGTGAGTGTTTTGGTATCGATTGACTATTCTAGGGCATTTGACATCATCATCAATTATTAACTGCAATTTTACATTTTATTGGTTTGAGTACTTCTGCTTGTTCTTTCCTCAAATCATATTCATCAAACCGAACTCAGTGCGTTAAAATAGAAAACCAAATATCAAATAGCATAGTGGTTCACCAAGGGGTTCCACAAGGTAGTGTATTGGGACCACTTTTATATGCATTGTATACCTCCAATTTTCATAATCATCTGACATATTGCAATTACCACGTGTTTGCTGATAACACGCGAATTTATTGTGCATTTCAATTTAAAAATCAATCGTGATTTAGAAATCCTCCTTTATCTTTCCAATGATCATCTTTTATCTATGGATTGTTTACTCATAGATTCTTAATTACGTTTTAAAGCACATGTTCGGAAAAACTGCGAAAGGCCTACGCATCGTTGAAGTTGGTAAACTTGTGCGAGCTAAGGACCAACGAGGCCTTACCTTTTAACGTGTGATTCCTAATGCGGTAAAAGTCATGGCAGCCATTTGAATGCTGCTATATTCCACACATAATGACATCAATAGGTCTTTGAAACGTATAAAAAATGTAGGTGATATCTCAAACACATATTGTTACATTTCCATTTCGCACAGGCACCGCTTTTGGAGCGCCTTGAGCATTTTCCTGTAGTGCTTGTGTTTTGTCGTTGTTAAAAAAAAACACCTAGTGAAAGACCATATATAGAACAGGAATAGGACAAACAAAACAATATTTTTTGAAAGGGGTTATGGAACATATTCGCTTCTCTCAATGAGAAACAGAATATGAGAGAATAGAAAACCACATTCATCGCGAATTCTACTCCACAAAATAACTGAAATATTCAAAAATATGTCTCATCAATACGAAACAAGTAATATAAAGTTAAGTCGACATGCGCCATCAATTTGCGTATTCGATATATCAATGTTACATTATATCGGCTGTAATATTGATTATTGGGAATCATCTCAGTGCAGTTTGCATATCGTTCTCATCTATAACACAGAATCCCGCAAGGCCCAATATTGGGGCCAGTATTATTTGCAATGTATTCTTAGAATCTTAACCAATGCACCATACACTTGCACGGACGACACTCAAATTCATCATAGTTTTCCCGTTCGAAAATAGATGATTCATGTAGAATTATTGGCGGTTTGAATGATTTTGTGGAGACAGATCACTTATTAGCGTTTCATTGTTTGTGTCTGAGTTGAAACAACTTGACGTATAAAAAGAGATCTTTTTAGAATCTTTGGTGTAGTAATGAATATTACTGAAGATTTTTCCCAACATCAAACCGTTATTTTAACATCTCGACACATGTTTCGATCACCAAGTGATCATCTTCAAGAGGAAGATTAAACTGCTTCAGAAACCAGAGATCTGCTTGTATTAGTCTAATTTCTGTTGAGTACTTATGATACAGATTCGGTTCCGTTGACCTGGCCATCATTATTAATGAGTGATTTCTTTGCTAGTATCTTTTTGGCAATACTATTTTTGACAGATCACGCGTGTCTTGTATCATTGTCAAACTTGTTCAGTTTTGTCTATAATTCAACCATGAATCGACTTACGAATGAACAACGCTTGTAAATTATTGAATCTTATTATCATAATTCATGCTCGGTGAAGAAAGTGCATCTTGCACTTCTTAAAATTCATGGGCAGTTTCGTCGGTCTACTGAAGGAGCTATTCGGAAGCTTGTAAGTAAATTTCGATCCCAGTTTACATTATTGGACATTAAACCACCAAGACTCATACGCAGAGTGAGGATCAAAGAAAATATTGCGGCTGTATCCGCCAGTGTTCGTGATGACCGTGAAATGTCGATTCGCCGCCGTTCATAGCAATTGGGCCTCTGTTACTCCACTACGTGGAAAATTTCGCGAAAGGATTTGGGTGTAAAACCTTAAAAGATACAGCTGGTGCTGCAAGAATTGAAGCCACACGACCTCCCACAACGTCTAACATTTGGTGAAGGGGCGCTGGCAAAGTTGGAGGAAGACCGACATTTTCATCGAAAAATTTTGTTCTGGTTGAATGGATACGTTAACAAGCAAAACTGCCACAACTGCCACATCAATTTTTTTAAATTTTTTGTGTTGTTTTGGAAATTAAATCCTATATCTCTTAAAAAATCACCCGTTACTGCACTATTTGGAACCTTTGGTATAGTAATGAATATTACTTTTGAAGAGGTAGTTACTGAAACTGAGGCCTATTTGCGACAAAAGATAAAACGTTCTACAAGAGTGATATCGAAAAAAAAGTGTTTTCTTTCTTAGGCCCACGACTTTCAACCCAGATGTTAGATTGTGCCTTATTTAGTGGCCTAAATTGTCGAGCATAATTGGACAAACATTTTAAAGATGAACACTACGTGTCTATTTCTCATCGCCAACGTTTCTGTGACGCTAGTGGCCATCTTCAGGAACAAACATGAGTTTTTTCAATCCATGCCAATCTTTTGAATCATTTTATCCTGAAATACATCCCTAATCAGACTATTTCCTTCAATCTCGCTTCCCTATTGCACAAAAGAAGACTCTTTGTTGTATCCAGGCCAATACGGCGTAAGTAAACTGTCAGGGGTCCAATGCCCATCAACCCCTGGCATCGCTCTGATTTTTATCTTTGAGTTACATAAATGGGGAGGAGTCTGACAGTTGCAATGAGTCTAGCAGGCCGCGATTTTGATAAGATACCGGAGGCACAATTTACATACGCCTCTCCGCCGAATCGAGGAGTCAGGAGCGTGCGTTGGGGGCGAAACGGGTCACCAATGAAGGGGTGGAAGGTTGAAAATAATCAATTTCAAACAGCTAGTTACCATGAATGGAGGTATGATACGGGTTTCTCCTGATGTATTTCGGAGTTATCGATGATGATGTTGTTGAAAACTAGGTAAAAATCTAGTATTTCAGCTGGTATGGATTCAATGATTTATTCTTCAATCCAACAGAAAACTTGTTCCAACAGAAAACAGGTAGTTCGATTATGAAAAATGAACACTTAACGAATTTCCTTGGAATAGCTATAGAGAAAGACTTCGACTGAAAAATTCATCGTTAGATAGTGATAAATGAAATAAAGTCTCCTGCATACAGTTTCAGAACTATAAAGCCTATTTCACAGAAAAATCATTTGCTCTTTCTCTATCAAGCTTTGCAATTTCTTGTCTCAGATATGAGACATGTCTTTGGGGTTATTCCGCATTGCCGAAGCATATTCAAGAAACTAGTTGTTTTAACTCTGCCATCTATTTTAATTTCAGAATGTGTTCACATATGTTTGATTACAGAAATTAATGGAAATAAGTGAAAGATATTCACTTAAGAAACACTAGATTATTATTAATATGCTCCTTCGAAACCAGGCATTGAAAAATATTCAATAAATTACAATGCTATGTAAAGCATAGCCATGAAAACATAAAGAGATTTAGAAAAAGACATACATTTTTCCATTTGAGAATAACTAGTATTTACAATCTGTCCGAGTTTTATGATAAATGTTAGAACAATTCGTGTAAATGTGTGTAGTTTTACTTTAGGTATTATGTTAATGATGATGACTATTATTATAGAAATTCGAATTTGTTGCTGACGATATTTCTGAATTGTTCGACAATTAGAACTATCACTTGAATTTTCACTGTACGTTATGACATTAATGTAAAAAAGATGGTCCTAGGAATATACATTTCTCTTCAATGATTATTCGTTTTGGATGATGCAACTAATTTTTCCTTCATTTTCAGTATTTTACTATTAATGTAAGTTACAAAAAGGATTTGAAGCTCTATGACTTCTATTTGATTATATGCGAGCGCTTTCGACAGCTGGTCGTGCTGTCATCCTCTAGGCACTATAGTAAAATAATAATTATTCAATATATCTTTCTTGACAGTTTAGCATTTGGGTTGCATTTAGCAACCCAAATTATATCCATGAAAATAGGCAAACATCCGACAAAAGGCTTATACATACAAAAACAACTGTTGAAGTAACCGAGAACAACTGAAATGATATTTGGATGAATCTATATCCACCTCGACACTTACTAAAAGCTCAGTACTTTACAATGGCCTAAGAATATTCAACCACCTGTCAAATGACGTTAAATGTACAGAAATCCCATCAGAATTTAGAAAAGAAATCAAAGTTTTACTCTCCGGTAGACTCTATTATAGTTTGGACGAATTTTAATGTTAGTGTCAAACCTATATGGAATTGTAAGTTCCATATAGCATCTGCAATAATTTATACCATTTTTATGTTTTGTTCCATTTTTCACTTCATTTTTATATTCCTATGTCTTATTAGCACATTTTACACATCTGTTTTCAGCATGTTTTCATGTGTATATATGTGTGTGTAAATGTAGGTAGGTATAAATATTTGTATAGGTTTTAAATTACATAGTCTTAGTAGGTATATGCTTGTATACACTTGTATATTATTCACACACGCTTAGTCGATGAAATTCATTCTTCTGACAATAGAGCTTATGTATCATTATTATTATTGTCATGATCGGAATGAAACGATATGACACGGTCTAAAACGAAATTTGTGATATTTCCACCATCAAATAAATAAATATCGTCGCTGAAGTTTTCAATCAATCAAAATATACTTAATTGTCGAAAACACTCTTGTTTTGTTGACAAAGTAGAATATACATCAATTTCACTGGAAGTTGTCATTGTGAAATTCTTGCAAACTATAATAGGGTCTGCTCGCGAGAAGTTTTTTTGTGTATTTTCTAAAGCTGTCAATACTATCGTAGCTATTATATCTATTGATATTTTTGTTAGTTCTTCCAGCCTACACTCACTAGCTAGCACAAAAATTGTTGGTACCAGAAAATAAAGCAAATCAAGTTGATACTTTTATATCCTACAATCGTTATATTTTGTTGCCTTGAGCATTAAATGTGTTTCATTATTTG